CCTCTCCTTGCCTCACTGCTGCCTCCTCCCTCTTGTCGACTAACACACAGCAACAAGCGGTTGGAAAGGTTGGGGGGGGGAGAAAAACAGAGGGTGGCCTCCCTTCCCTCACAGGTACGGCTGCCCTTACAGCTATAAGCCCAGCTCAAAATAGCTCTTTGGTAACCATCTTCTCCCTGATTAGCCTGATTCCTTTGGGCTTTTTCCAGAATATGGTCATGGTCTTCTAGACATAAAATAAAAATTGACATTAACACAAGACCACAACTGATACCACCCCAGAGTGTCACTCCAGACATGCTTCGGTTTTACAGTTGCAATATTAGCAAAGCAAAAGGCAACAGTTGTTTTCCACTGCTCACACCAAAGAGCATTTTCAGTTGGACCAGCTTGCAGTTGTCTGAAATAATAATAAGAACAATGCAATCTTATACAATTATCTACTGCTCCTAAATAAGACCTGTTGTGTTCAAGGAATAGGACTTACTCCCAAGTAAGGATATAGAGGACTGATATTTAGGACTTTCATCCAATGTACATTTACTTGGGAATAAATGCACACTTACCTGGGAGTAAGATCCCTCCAACTCAGCAGGGCTTATATCTGAGTAGTCAGAGAATGGACTATACTTTCAGCTGCCAATTCTATGCATGCTAACTTGAAAAAAGGGGGAAGGCGGAATTATTTCAAGTTAAACATGCATAATGATTGGGCTGTGAATAGACCTTTGAACCTATCTAGCACTCGAGCAAAAACAAAAGAGAGATTTTTCAGATGCGTGGACAGTCAAGACAAGTTTCCTTTTGCATCACAAAAGGAATCAACTTATGCATGCTGACTCAATATATACTCAGAAGTCTGTACCACCAATATCAGCAGATTTCCTTTCAAGAGCACAACCACAACTGATTTACAAGTAAACATACCTAGTGAGCTGTGCTGTCAAATATGAAGGCAACCTGAGATCACCACTGCTTTACCCTAAGATTGACATGACTTCTAAACTACTCTTACCAATTCCATAACATGTATTCATAAGTGTAACCCAGAGCTAGTAAACAAAGGGGACTAGCAACACAGAAGTTTAAGGAACGAGTCTTATATTAAATTATTGCTTGCATACACAAAAAGCTGCTGAAAAATAATACTGGTACACCGCCTCGCCCATTGCATGCACGTTTGCCTGAAGCTGGAGAAAAGGCGTATCAGGAAATAGCTTAAAAACAAATCTAATTCTAAAACTATGTAACTGAATAGCTAAATGTTCCTACTGAGGTATTCTGTCCTCTTAAAAGTTAAATATATGGCTGCCAAGTGAGTTAATGAAAAACTCTTTGCTAGTTAACTCATTTAGTGCATCAGCTATGAATTAAAGTATGTGGCACATGGCCAGAGCATAAAGGACTCTCTTTGAACATGCTCAGATTTCTCTCTAACAAGAAATAGTTCTGATCATCTCCAGAGTGAAGTGGGCAGTTGGCTTCAAGACAAAAGGTTGCATTTAGTTCTTGAATTGTCCATCCCACCCGTTCACCCCAACATATAAGATGAAAGCCAGCAAGAAATCAAGCATTTTGCCTTAAAAACACTGCAATCTCATTTGCTCCAAACCCTCAATACATGCTAACAGACAGTATGCTCCTGATATAAAGCCAGAAACTGTTATAATATTGATATTGGAAAAACGGATGGAATGACAAAGGGAGGAATTTCTTAAGTAAAAGAACGGAGCCAGATCCATGACAGGCAGAGAGTTTTCCAGCTTTTCAGTTACTGAATGTGCTTATTGTGTGGTAAAGAAATGATCATTATTCATAGCATTCATGGAATATGTTGGCCAATAGTCTTTCTTTTGTGCCAGGACAGTTAAGTCTGACATTTTCTGAAATGAACTTTTATGTATTTTTTTGTTTAAAGTTATGTTTGCGATAATCTAAAAATCTAATCAATGTAGAAAGAATCAACAGGACGCTGCATTATCCAGTGGGCTATAGTGGGAGGGGGGATTGTTACACAGTAGTTTCCTTTGAAAACCATGAAGAACTCAACCCCCTATTGTGTTATAGATTCAGTGTGATCCTGCAACACATTAAAAAGTCCTTTTATAGCAATGACTCTTAAATGGATATAAATAATCACATTCTTGAAGTCGCGATGGGTGTATTTTTTGGACGCTCTCCACCCTCCCCCCCCCCAAGATAAGCAAGCCTGCCACATTGTTCAAATACACCGATAGATCATTTTATACTTCCTCGCCTTCCACAGATCTCAGCTTGATACTTGAAACCACCACCTTATGACAATTCTATTCATGATTAGAGTTCTGGTTTCAGGACTGAATTTTGGTTCACAGCAGATGGGTGGTGCGGGTGGGAGAAGGTATTCGTTTACCTATCTAGATTCTGGCGTCTAGCCCAACAAAGGCAGAAGCATGTAGAAAATACAAGGGAACAGCTCTTCCCAGGCTGAAATGTTGGAGTTGCAATGCAAAGACAGTAAGAGGTAAGAGCTAGTGATTGGAGGGTTAGGCTGCCAGTCTTTTCTAGAGGGCAGGACTAAGCTAAACATGGGCACTTTGCATCGTTTCTCATTCTTCTTTGCCACTTAATTATCCCCTTCTTATCCTTCCCCCCACTTAAAAAAAGTTTAGGAAAGGAACATCCATGTTCATGGTAGGAGTTGATCTCCTTAACCAATAGCACTAGAGATGGAAAATATTCATACACTGTTTCAGTAGGAGGTTGGACACACGGTTAGCTGGGGGGGGAGGAGGAGGAGGAGGAGGAAAGGCTGGTGGCATTGAGAGAGGAGGCTGAGCTGCTCTGTTGAAAGCTTTAATCTTATATTGATCTCTTAAAATTCAGTATTTTTTTTAACAGTAGTCCAGTTGGATTATAGAGCCCCCACCTTCAGCTCTATTTAATTTATGGACTCATTAGTCTAATTTCATTATTTAATCATGTGCTAGTCATTGTACTTCCTTAAGAAAGGAGTGGACTGACCTATTTTTGGCTGGAGATAAACGACCATGTTAACAGATGTTAATCTTGTAATCTGTTTTCCTGTAAGCGCTTCATATACCCGCATTTGAGATATTAACAACAATAACACCACACACACAGGGGGAATTGACGTCAGGATTCAATACTTCTTTTTCCCCAAATAGGGGAGAGAATCCACCCAATGCCTTCAAAGACATTAAATCTTTTCCTACTTTATAAATGCTGATTTGTTCTGCCTCAACTCCCACAGGCAGTGATTTGCATTTCAAATTCCACAGGTTACCCCCCTTCCCTTTCTCTGACACACTCTCTCTCTCTCTCTCACACACACACACACACACACAAATATAACCCAGCAATAAGGCAGCAAATGTGGATCGAGAGAGGTAGGGAGCAGCGAGTGCATCTAGGTTAAATCTCCGAAAGGCGACAACAAAACGTCTGTTTCTACCTCTCCGGTCCAGAAGGCTTTGGAAACCATCGATCTGCCCAACGGAATGAATAAGACACGGACTCACACGCAGCACACCCTCCCCGGCCGCTGCTGCCAGAATAGCAACGTTTCTAGACCCCAATGCTCGCCG